GCAACCTCTGCCTCTGGGGTTCAAGCAATTCTTCTGCCTCAGCCTCCCAAGTAACTGGGACTACAAGTGCGCACCACTACACCCGGCTAATTTTTGTATTTTTAGTAGAGACAGGGTTTCACCATATTGGCCAGACTGGTCTCGAACTCCTGACCTTGTGATCTGCCTACCTCAGCCTCCCAAAGTGTTGGGATTACAGGCTTGAGCCACTGGGCCCAGCCAATTTTTATTTATTTTTTAAGTGGCATTCCTCTGTGTCATTTTTAAATTAATGCTTCTTGCTTTTAAAACTTTTTAAAATTTCCATATGTTTTGGGGGAACAAGTGGTATTTGGTTACCCACGTAAATTCTTTAGTTGTGATTGATGAGATTTTGGTGCAGCCATCACCCAAGCAGTGTAGACTGAACACAGTTTGTAGTCTTTTATCCCTCACTCTGTTCCCACTCTCTCCCTCTGAGTCCCCGACGTCCGTTGTGTCATTCTTACGCCTTTGCATCCCCGTACCTTAGCTCCCACTTATGAGTGAGAACACAAATGTTTGGCTTTTCCATTCCTGCGTTATTTCACTTAGACTAATGGTCTCCAGTGCCACCCAGTTTGCGACAAATGCCATTAATTCATTCCTTTTTGTGACTGAGTAGTATTCCATCACCCCCCACCCCCCCACACACACATACACATTACAGTTTCTTTATTCACTCATTGACTGATGGGCATTTGGTCGATTCCACGTTTTTTGCAATTGCACATTGAGCTGCTGTGTGCAAGTGTCTTTTTTGTATAATGACTTGTTTTCCTCTGGGTAGATACCCAGTAGTGGGGTTGCTGGATCAGATGGCAGTTCTACTTTTAGTTCTTTAAGAAATCACCACACTGTTTTCCATAGTGCTTGTCATTCACTTTGAAAGCACCTTGTACAAATTAGGTGTTTCAAGGGCTGGGATTCTGTAGTTCTTCTAAGGCATTTTTTCCTGCACATGCTTTTTTTTGGAAAAATTTGATATACCAAAAAATACATAATTCATTACCATGGACAGAAAACCAAGAAGGACTGGACATAGCGTCAGGGAGCAGAATGGTAGTTATCAGAGGCTGGGTAGTGGGAGCTGGGGAGGTGTTAGTCAAAGGTGCTCTGTTTCAGTTAGGCAAGAGGAATCGATGAAAGATATTTGAGGTGATGAATATGCAAATTAGCTTGATTCAATGGTTCTGCATTGTGTACACACATCACTTTGTATTCCAAAAATATATAGTTATAATATATATTTCTCTATCCAATAACAAACAAATTCTATTAAATTCAATGTACTTAAAAAAGAGAACCAAAAAGATAATACTAGGAAATTAGAAGCTGATTGGCTGAGGAAAGCCAATGAAAATAATAGTCTGAAATTGGGCAGGCATTGGACAAAACACCTGATAAACAACGGATTGACTTCTGATTGGTCATGGGAGACATCTATCAACCAGATGTTCAAATAATCAGAGGCATGTATTTAGTCTGAATCATTGTAACTCCTGAAAATCATCCAAGGAGAGAGGGATTAACTGGGATCTTGACATTCGCATGCGGGTCCACACCGTGACAGCAGAGTGTACGTCCATCCGTCCATCCGAGAGCTGCAGGATTAGGGATTCTTCACTCGAACTACACACCCTGATGTCTGTACTCCCAGAGCAGAGTTTCGTCAAACCCATCAGATTGTTCTCCCTTGTTATCAAGAAATAAATTAGGCCCCCACATCTGCAGGGAGATTTTTCTTTTATTGCCTCTGATTTATGCAACAAAAATAGCTTCACCATTGGAGTGGCATTCACTGTACACGCTCTCCACTCACTGAGGACCCCACTGGTTTATACAAACATTCTCCAGAAGAATAGGTGCTTAATGAAGATTCGAGTGCATAAATTAATGAATTAATTAAACAATACTGTTCTATACCAAGAGGGTTGGTTACACTGGTATGAATCAAATTTCTTATTTATGATATTATTATCCTCTTATGTTTAGATGAGACTGATATTTTAAAGTAGCTTTGTTAAATAAACATCTGTGAAACAGCAAAAGCAAGTAGGTGGCAGCGAGAACTTAGAAGGGGCACTGATTCTTTTAAAATCTTTCTCATGTGCTTACATTCTCCCAGCTTTACTGGAGAACTGGGTGATAAGTTCATGTTTGGAACACTCACTAGTTCTTCCTGAGCTGAGCAGATCAGTGCTAAAGTGCCCGATTCCGCTTAGTGAATGTCTTGCTGTTTAGAGAAGCACCTTCCGTCTCTTTACTGAAAGATATTTAGCAGACGTTTCATTCTTTAACTTACCTGATTTCCCTCTTTCTAAAATATGTGTTCCTGTGAACCATATTGCAAAATGCCCTTGTAAGAGCTTTATCACAGAGATATTTACATGAACAGCAATGAACATATATTTTTTAGTATTAGACTAAAATGTGTCCATCCTCCAAGAAGTTTTCAGGATAACGTGTTCTTCAAAATAGCAGCTATCAGCAAGCAGCACCTCATATTCCACCGTGCGTAAGAAACATGTCGTATCATAAGACAGAATTCACCAAGGCTGATAAAAACGTGGAATGCGTCAAGGAAATTCGCATCTTTGCTTGACATTTAAATTTGTTTTTATGATAAAATTTGTAATTAATGCATTCCCATATTTTATTTGCCTTTGGCAAGTTTGAATATTGTGCAAACTCTTAGATTTGTAATTTGTGAGCTCATATTTGATAATGGCACCTCGAATGGAGAAGTACATAATTGCTGTTTCTTTCTTCACATGAATGGTTTCCTCTGAAGGGAAGATGAAGTTCAATAAGCTATAAAGTGGTTCTGAGAATGTACTTCAGTGATGGGCCAGAACATTCACTTTTTATCTGTTCTTTTTTACCGAAAAGTATTAAAACCAGAGCAAATAAATCGCTCAAAAATGGATGGAAGTGCTTCTCCTCCACGTGGGTGGATTTAGCTTTTGGGGGTTGGGATTCTTTAACACACTTAATAGTTAGTACCTAGGCCAGTCGTTTTCAAAGTATGGTGCCCAGGCTTATCAGCACCAACGTCATCTGGGAACTTAGAAATGCACATTCTCAGGCCCCACCACGGATCTGTGGAATGCATAGCCTGGACTTTCACAAGCCCTCCAGGAGATTCTGAGTCACCGATGTTCGAGAGCCACTGCTCTGACACTCTGCTGTTCGGTGCAGTCCATGAAGAGTCAGGGGCACCTGGACCCTTGTGAGAACCTCAGAGTGCACCAAAACATTCCACTTAAGAAGCCACTCAGCCAGGGGCAGTGGCTCATGCCTGTAATCCCAGCAGTTTCAGAGGCCAAAGCTGACGGATCATAAGGTCAAGAGATAAGACCATCTTGGCCAACATGGTAAAATCCTGATTCTCCTAAAAATACAAAAATGAGCTGGGCATGGTGGCGCATGCCTGTAATCCCAGCTCTTTGGGAGGTTGAGGCAGGAGAATCCCTTGAATCTTGGAGGTAAAGGTTGCAGTGAGCCAAGATCATGCCACTGCACTTCACTCCAGCCTGGGTGACAGAGTGAAACACTTTTTAAAAGTCTTTAAAAAAAATTTTAAAAAAAGGCACCCAGGTGGCCCTGATGCATATTAATGTCTGAAAGCCACTGTTCAAAAATTTGAAGATTCAGAGTCAGGAACTTAGCAGTGGGAAAGTATCCTTTACTCAGAGGCTTTCTGGAGGCTGGGCAAGTGAAAAGCAGTGGAGGCTTTAGTGTCTCTGCATCCTCTCAGTTACCACTGGAATTACAAGGAGGGAAGAGAGGCTTAAACTTCTGCTTGCAAGCATGGAAAATATATAAGGGCACATTGTGTCTGCATTATGGGATGGAGAGCAGAGCCATTATCTGGATAAAAGAGCTCTTATCTGAGTAATAAATTATATGTATATGCATACATGCACATACATATATATATAATTTCCCACAATGATCTAGGCGTATTAGGTCAAAACACAGCTCTCAATTCGAAGTTTTTTTTGTAAAACTCTCCATTTTCTAATTCACTTTTCATGTACGAGCAATGCTAAGATATTTGGGGGGGGGTCTTTTTCTCTTAGGTTGTTTTCTACCTTGAATCTAATTTTCTGTAGCATGAATTTTTTTAGGAAGTCTTTTCACCACTGAAAGAAGTTGCAAACTTTTGAGACTCCCCATAGGGTGATTGTTCTGGTGTTAAGATGTCAGTGAGACAAAGCTTTCTGTGAAGATGGTGAAGTTTGCCCCTTTCCAACAATTCAGCACTATTTATTCTATGTCTACTAGTGGTGAACCCAGGGACCTGGGAGGAAGACAGTAGCTGACCAAGTAAAACCTTCTTTGTAAAAATATTTGTAGCATGGAAACGCATGAGAATTAAAGGATTTTTTAAAAATCCTTTTGAAATCTTTGCACAACATGCCCCCGCCCCGTATGTAAATGAGACTGTCACTCCTGTGTTTGTCCACAGCTAGAGTTCCAGATGAACTAGTGTAGTGTGCAATGACAGGAACAGCTGACTCATTAGCAGAGAGCAGTGAAAGGTAATTAACCCTGGGAAAAGTACAGCTGCCGTGCGAGCTGTTCCTTTCTGTAGGATCTGATTAGAAATTAGTGTTAAACCACTGATTTTTTTTTTTTTTTTTTTTTTTCAGAAGACTGTCATTGATAATTCACTTTCACTCTCAGGTGTGTCCCTAGAAAAGGTTCTCAAATGTACTTATAAACAAAAGGCTCAAATCTATAAAGCGCTTTCTGATAGCAGTAGACACCTGTTTTTCTTGTGGGAGACTTCTTTCAAATGAATGTTGTCTGACTACTGAAGATGGGTAATACCCCAACCCATATTCTAACAGTCAGCATGGCAGTTACTTGAAAGGATTGTTTTACATAGTTCATAAGCTGTAGATAAAAACCACTTAATTACATTTCCTTTTTGTTTTTCTTTCCATTTTTCCTCCTCTGATGCTTTTCCTCAGGAGCGATGGGAACTCTCCCGTTCAGATCCAGTAGCTTTTAGGGAAGGTAAGTAAAAGCTATTGAAAAATAAACTTTTTCCCCAAAGAAAAAGAATCTCCAACTTTTCAACATCCTTCAAAAACCAGAGACGTTGAGGAATTTCATTTTAGAGGGTCAGCAAAGGTGCTTGATTTGGTTAGTGTTGGTAACCTCATGGTAATTTTGGCTATATTCATACAGGTTTAGGAAGTGTTTTTCAGGAAGTGTCTACGCCTGCTCATTCTGATTCTTGGCTTCATACGTCTGATATTAGGGGCGTTAATATGTAAAACACTCAGAATTAAAATGTATGGCTAAAAAATGTGGTAGACAGGATAAAGTCCCCCACAAAAATATCCATGAAGTCCCTGAAATCTGGGAATATGTTATCTTGCATGGCGAAAGGGATGCGATTTCATGAAGCACTTTGAGATGATCCTATTTATCTAAAAAAGACAAACTAATCACATGACCCTGAAGAAAAAGGCCAAAGATTGAGTCAGGGAGATGCAACGTGAGAGGGACTCAAAGTAGACGCCACTGCTGACGTTGAAAATAGAGGAAGCGGGCTGGGCGCGGTGGCTCAAGCCTGTAATCCCAGCACTTTGGGAGGCCGAGGCGGGTGGATCACGAGGTCAAGAGATCGAGACCATCCTGGTCAACATGGTGAAACCCCATCTCTACTAAAAATACAAATAATCAGCTGGGCATGGTGGCATGTGCCTGTAATCCCAGCTACTCGAGAGGCTGAGGCAGGAGAATTGCCTGAACCCAGGAGGCGGAGGTTGCAGTGAGCTGAGATCGTGCCACTGCACTCCAGCCTGGGTAACAAGAGCGAAACTCCGTCTCAAAAAAAAAAAAAAAAGGAAAGAAAATAGAGGAAGCAGGCCATTCGCCAGCAAAGGCAGTGGGCTCTGGAAGGTGGGGAGGGCTCTCGGTTTACAGCCTGCAAGGAAACAGCAGTCTCAGTCCTGCAACCGCACGGACTGCATTCCAGCAACAGCTCAGTGAGTGAGGAAGTGCATTCCCCTTTGGAGCCTCCAGAATGGAACATAGCTTAACTTGGTTTTAGTCTGGTGAGACCATACCAGACTTTGGATCTCTAGAACTGTAAGATGACAGCTTTGTGCCTTTTTAAGCCATCACATTTGTGAAAATTTGTGGCAGCTATAAGAGAAAACTAGTACAGAGAATAAGCCCACCAATAGGTGGGACGTATTTTGTAGCTCCTGATCTAAATCCTATGAGTAAATTTCTGTATTTGAATGAAGAGAAACTTTTCTTGAGATGCTAAGATTGATAGTCTATGAGAATTGGAATATTGATTTTGTTGATTCAAATGATCGTTTTTGCCAGCTCAGAGAGGTCTGTTTTCTACTTCGTGATATCCCTCCTTCCCCAGAAATTCTTTATATGCTATATTTGTAAACCCAATGCCTGTGTCACCCAAGATGCAAATGAGAACATGCTTTATTGGACTTAGCGAGTCTGTGTTTACTTGGGCATGGGTGAGTGGAATGGAACTCCGAGGGACAGAAGGCCAGGTCTCTGCTGCAGAGATCTGACAGGCCAAGAATGCTGAGCCTAGTGCTTGAAGGCAGATGGCGGCCACGTGAATCCTGGTTCTACCTCTTTCAACCTGTGTGAACCTGGGGTAAGGTGGTGAGCTCAATCTCCTTCCCTAATCTCACATGTAACATTGATAATACTTCACCATAGACATGCTAAGATGACTAAGTCAGACAACACACATAAATTCTAGCAAGAGCATCTATCATTCTATGAGTTTGGTAAAGGTGAGGTGTGTTTATTCAGAAAATATTGTGTCGCCTCACCATTTTGATTCAAAAAATAAATTGGTTTTGTCTTTACTTATGGTGAGTGCCGTTTTCTCTCCCATACAAAAGTCATCAGTATGAATATATAGACATGCATTGCTTAAAATAAATGAGTCAGGTGCACAACAAGCGCTCTTTGAATTTTATTAACATTCTGGAAAACATCAGTGAGGAAGTGAAGTCTATGAACCAGGGACTGTGTCATATTTAGATGAGTTGAAGATCTTCCTATATAGTTTTCTTTCCACATTGGGAAAAATAAGACTGTTATTTCTATTTTACTTTTAACTTTTCCTGCAAAAGGACCTGTTTAAATCACAAGCCATAACTTTTCATATTATGAGATAAAAGTAGACGTTGCAAAACTCTGACCACAAAATCTATTATACTTCACACTCGCTCTCCTTTGCGTGTTGGGAGCTGAGGTTTTCAACGTAAGAGAAGACAGAACTGCAGATTCTCCTTAAGGGGCCTGGCAATCAAAAAACAAAATCTATAGCATTCCAGATGCTAAAATGTCTGGGTTGTTTTCTATTGAAATCCAATTAACAAACAATTATCTCAAGCACCTGAAAAGTGGTTTGTTTTTTCTTGCTTATTTTAATTCAATTCAATAATAACATATTGGGCACCTACTGCAGCCATAAAATTATGTTGCATTGAAAGGTCAACAAGATAGCCCTTTGCTTCCATGAGCCCAGGGAAGAGAGGTGAGACCTGGGCAAGCATATCTGGCAGAACAGAGTCATCGAGATGAGGGTGCTACCAAAACGCTATTGGAATATGGAGTTCTGGGCGATGCTGTCGACCCAATGTGAATGACAAATCACATTTCAGCAGACGGATCTCGCAGTTCTGACTCTAAAGGGAAAGTTCCTTTGAAACATACAAATGAAATTATAAAATTCTAAGCATTTAATTTTAGCTCTCTAATCTGACCATCAAGTCTCTGACCCTCTTGTAACTATATAAAAATAGGGCCTTAATGCATTGCTGAACCAAGCCAACTACAATTTCGACCATTGGTGTCCTTTCAATTGGTCTCTGGGGACATTGCTTTATTCTAGTCATAGTTTTCCGAATCTCTGTAGGGATGAATTTTTTAGGAATCATCATCATCTGGAAGCTTTTCCAGTCTGGTCTAAGTCTGTGCTCCCATTCCTTTTTCTGCTTCCCTCTGTAGTAATACGTGGCACATTATATTGGAATATTCAACTTCCTGGTTTGAGCTCTTGAGAACGAGAGTTGTGCTTTATGTATCCTTTTATGCCCGCTGTCTAGCATGGCAAGCCGTGGAGTTCTTCCCAATAAGTGTGCACTGAACCAATAAAGAGTAAATTCTTAGCAGAAAAATACTTGTACTTTTAAGAAATCTGTTTTAAATTGAATACTGTAGTGATAATAAAATCGGAGGATCATCCTGCAAAAACCCAGTGCCCCATTGGCCTCCACAACTGAGTCGCATCATTGGCTTTGCAAATTTCAGTATATTCTCCCATTCCATATTTCATCGTCAGGTAATGAAGATAAATAATTATATTTTTATCTTAATTCAAAACAACATATGAGGAAGATTATATAAAAAGCCAACAGTTATGTTGGGAAAAAGAGCAGACTTTCTGATAAAATTCTAAAGAACCTTTTAAAGATGGATAAAGAAAATGGAAAATGTCTAAAGCTATCAAGTACATTGTGTAATAATGTAGATGACGAAATAGCTTAAATAGAGAAAATTCCCTTTATATGGTGAAAAGGTTCCTTTGTGAAACAAGTGCTCTTTGAACTTTATTGAAAATGTTCTGATTTACTCAAAATAGCACATTTAGTTACAGCACAGGCCTTGAAGTTAAGTGCTAGTTTAATAAAACAGAGTTCCATCGTCACCACAGGAAACAGAGAATCGTTTTTATTTCTTTGGAAGCCAGGAAGGGGCTTTAGAGAAAAGATTAAGCAAACACACCCAGGCAGGTTCGTTATGTGCCGCTTCACACCTGATGGGCTCTTTAAAAGAGGGAACTTAATAATCCAGGAAATGAAGTTTTCCCACTAAAATCTGTGGAAGCGCGTTAGGAAGTCTGAGCATGCCTTTTCTCTAGGCATTTCCAAGTAGGTTCTGAGTCAGCGGGAAGGCTGCTTTAGTCGGACATCTCTGCGAGATGCACTTTATGCTCATAGTATTTTGCTAATAAACCATGTCACAAACAAGTGGTTAAAAATGCCGCCCCAGAGACAGCAAGATCCTGCTCTGCGTGGCGATTCTGCAATCTCAGGTCTCACTTTACCATTCATGGTCAACGTTTTGTTGAAAGGCTGGTGGAAGGGAAACTGAAATCCACACTAGTGAAGACGTCTCCTTGTGCCAGCTTCGTTGCTTTCTCAGTTTAGCATGGAGATGTGCTCTCTTTGAGTGTTAATGGAGGTCGCTACTTCTCTGTCCTTTGCTGCATCTAACCCAAGGAGTTCTTCACAGTTGACTGTTGAGAAACAAAATGAGGTGGTTTCTAGTATCTCACCTTCAGCTCACCAGTGTTTAAAGCAGCAGTGATTAACAGGACTTTTACAAAGTTTCTATGTAGTTACAAGGACAGTTTCAATCTTCTGTCATTTTTTTGCATTAGCTATGATTATGCTTTTACCACAAAAATGCATTTGTTTTAAAGGTAACAATACAGACTGGGAGAATAGCTTATGTTTCATCTATATTTATCAGCACTCACTGTACATTTGTGTCTTCATTACCAGGAAATATTAAGGGACATTGTGCCATCTATTCCTGTTTACAGTTTATTATGCAGAGATAGGAAACACTTAGCATGTAAAATGAATGTAGAAATTATTCCTGGATAGAAACACGGACATTTCCCACTCGTTGGCTCTTTCTCCTCCATCACCGGATCAGAGTGTAATTGTCAGTAATCAGGCCTGCTTGCTGCTGATAAAACCACTCTGAATGCTAGCAGCCTTCTTTGTGTGATGACTCAATTATTCCAGAAGTGCCTCATCAAATCTGCCCCATCAGCTGGGCTAATAAATAAGGAGAAGAAACTGGCCCCCCAAAGCAAATTATAAATCCATTTGCATTAACCATTTCGCTGGTCCATGATCTACGCAGAAATCAGCATGGCAGATTGTGTTAAGCTTATTTGAATATGTGTGTAATGTTTACGGCATGCAACTTCTTTTTTTTCC